TGAAGAGAATTTTTATTTTGAATTGCATTAAAAAATTTTATTTCCAATGGAGAAAAAAAGACATCTTTATGCTCAGAACACTTCTATTCTGGCCGAAGACGTACCTTTTACATGGTATTGTGAGGTTGTTTGTATATCACATGAGCCATAGTTACCTGCCATGTACGTAAGAACACTTGATCTTGTATTCTTGTTGTTTGCCTTTATGTTGAATTTGATGGTTTAATCTTCACAGTCAAAAACTGCTAAAGTGAGATTTTTCTCAGACAAATGATTGGAATTGTCCAACAAGCCCAAATGCACTCAGATAATCAGATGCAGATTTTGAGTCAAAATCATCTTAGCATTTGTCTTTATTTTTTAACGTGCTTGCCTGTCAATATTTTTTAGCATTTTCCTATGTCTTCAAAATTGTATAAATTTACTGCATTCCATTAGTGTTAGAATTTTCGTATTGAATTGTGAATGAAAACATTTAAAGAGTGTTTAAATTTATGTATTAACAATTAATTTTTATGTATCAAATGTAATATAAAAAGATTGCTCATTTATAGTGTTTCATCATTATAAAAAATTTGAATCATAAAAATTGAGTTTTGAGAATATAATTTTTTTTTTTGAAATTTCTATGCTAAATTTTATTTTCTTTAATTCGTCCGAGACTCAACAAATTTTCCAACAAATTAGTATCAAATATTATTTTTCCATCATTTATAAAGTATTTTAAAATAACGTGCAATGCACGTTTGACTTTGATTATTAAAGTTAAAAAAATGTTAATTTTATTAATGTTCTTATCTACTTCTTTAGACGTTTTTGAATTGTTTTAGATGTAACCACCATTTTTTTTGGGTGGTTTTATTCACAAAACATTTTTTATAACTAAATTACGTTTTAATTACATTAAAGTCATTAACATTTATTTATTATTACACTTATATTCTTAATTTTTTTTAGTCATCACATGCTCATTTTTAAAATTTTATTGATAGAAATTTTTGTTCTTAATCAAGAATTTCGTCCAAAAATATTGTTAACATGCTTTAAAATGAAGATCAAATAAATCAATTTTTTTTTTTTAATTTCTGGGTACAATGCGCGAATGAATCCTTTTGGGATAATTACCTGATTGGTCATTGAACTTTGTTTAAGATTTCTTGAGTTCGCTAAACTTTAAAAGTTTCCAGGTTAGTCACTGAATAATCCCATCCATCATTGTAAAATTCAGTGACTAACCTGGAAATTTTTGAAGTTCTTAGCAATGAATGGGATTACATTTTGTAAAGTTCATTAACTAACAAGAAAACTTTTAGAGTTCAATGACCTCTGAGAAACCTTATGCAAAATTCAGTGATGAATCAAGTAATTTATCAATCTTTACATATATTTTTTAGTTTTTTCTATACTCCTACCCCATAATTTTATCCTTTATAGCATTGTCAAACTTAGAAAAAAGAATAGCCTTTATCTTGGGGATAACTGACAAGGTTGTCTCTTGACATCTCTAAAATAAAAGAGGCAACAAAGATCCATGGAGTCAAGTATTCAGAAGAAATCTACTTCAGCATTGATCACTTAATAGTATTCAACTTTGAAATTCATACATATCCTCAACTAAGAATCTATGAAATTTCTAGTTTCTGTTCAAGCATATCCTCATGGAAAGACAATCGAAACTGAAGCAGCCCATTGAGCTGTCATATGTGGCCTTTTTGATCGTAAAGAGGTCAACAGATGTTACACCCCATTTATTAAAGTCACATTCAAGAAATTGTTCAGTCAAAGTCTTGGTCAAATAGGGACTGAAATGTAGTAAATCATTTTATCGGGATTTGGATCGATCAAATTATTTTATTGGGGTTTATTTTACAAATTTACAATACTTGAGGTTATAATATGGACATCATTTAAAATTTAGAATTTAATTTACAAGTATGGAAGTTTAATGCCTAAATGTTATGCTTAATTGAAGAAGGGGGATTTTCTTTGCAAATTTTAGTTGTGGCCCATTTAAAAACCACTTGTCACACACAAAAACATACACAAGAATCTCGAAAGTGGAAACGGGGCAGAAGCTGGGAGAATATGAGAAAAAGAGGGGGAAAAAGAGAGAAAAAGGAAGGGAAAAAAAAGGAAATGGAAGAGGCCGATGATTTTTGTAAGTTTGGGTTCTTCATTTCTTCAGCTTATCCTTATTTTAAAGAGGAAAGTTAATTAAATTTCTGGGGTTTATGAACCATTTATTTATATTCGAAGTTTAGCAAGAATTAGAGATTATTATGTTTTTGAGGCATTAAACAAGAATATATCAAAGGGATGTA